TCTGTTGGGCTTTTTGGGAAACAACACATCGGCAATGTTCAGCATCTAGCCTAGGGTTACAGTGAGTGGCCTGAACACCATGGATCCAGGATGAACACTTTGCCACACCTTTCTTGTGACATAGCTCCGTGGATTGTGGATTGGCAAACGAAACATTCTAAAATGGTGTTCCATAAAGTTGTACACGTTTACAGGGCGCATGCATCGTTTCAAAGGTCTTGAAAGAACAACCTTGGTCCCAACACAGCCTCCATATGTCTAGCAACCTATTGTTTACCAGTTGCGGCCATGTCGAAAACGGTTGAGCGGAATTTTGGTTGGCTGCCTCTAAAAACTGGCTAATTGGCATTGTTTGAAGACATTGCTAGAGAAGAGCCATCTACCATGGAAGCCAAGGGCTGGTAAGTTTAGGAGTCGGGTGGTTGAGAGGGGGTGCCACACTCCCTAAGGAACCCTTAAAAAACCTGTGGAATATTAAGGTATCCTGGGGCTCGCAGATTCCAAAATAAGTGTGTGAGCTCAGGAACCAAAAGAAACCGTCATCGCTTCTTATTCCAAGAAGGCCACCTTTGATTCGGCAAACGAGATTCATGGACAACCCTTACATCCTGGGACCCTACCAAAAGCAACACAAGGCCATATCTCCAGGGGCGGTTCAACCCCTTTAACAGGGTCCCTTAAAGCCAGTCAAAAAGTAACCTCGACCAGCTGATTTGGAGGACTCTCTGGCAAGGCAGGTGGTTTTGGGATGTATCCTTCTACCAGAGGCTTGTAATTCCCCTTTCCGCTTAAATTACTTTTAGGTGCCTTGCAGAACGAAGAATTTCAGCCCTTGAGCCGGGTTTATTGGTTGCAGCCACCTTCTGCGGGAAAATGACTTACCCCTTTTTGGCTCAATTCTGCAACGCGTGCCCGCTTGTCCTGGTGTTTCCCTTCTACTCACACCCCCTGAAAAGCAGCATGCTTTTCAAATCGCTGCGAATCTGGACCAGCCAAAAATCCGTAGAAGCAGCTCACAACAGGTTGGTCCCAACCAACAACCAAAAAAAATCGGACCGGCCAAACATCTGGAGAAGCAGCTCAAAACAGGCTGGTCCCAGCCAAAAAACAGAATGCGCTTCACGTCCTCGCGTCCTTCTCGTTTTACAAAAAGCCAACGCCGAAAACTCATCGGCCAGAAAACCCATGGAGCTGCTCGCCGAGGCTATCGAGATGACCTCCGGCCTGGGCACCCAACTCCCCACCCCCGAAACCCACGCCCTTGGGAGTAGCGGTGGCTGGGGTGAACCAAACCCACCCAAAACCCGGGGTGTTGCTGAAGGGATGTGCTGGCATTTCCGGATGAGATACATGCCTTGATGATGAGAGACGGAAACTCTCTGCCTGCGCTTTTTGATGAGAGACGTATTAGCATCGCGAACCCCCCCCCCCCGATAATGCCCACACCGAAACCCGATTTACGGTACGCTCCACCGTGCCAAGACATGGTACAAAAGAGCATGGTCCGCAGCATGGTGATTAGTGCGTGGGTTTGGGAGCTTGCCTTGATATGATGTGGTGAAGGCTTGTTTCCAAGAGTTGGTTGTGTTTAGTGTTGGCTTCTTGTGTTTCGGTGCGTTTGCTCTGGGTGTGTTGCTTTATCGAGATATTAGTTTGGTCGGCTTCCGGGGCGAAAGGATGGACAGCGAAGGGTTTGGTTTGGTTGTAACACAGCAGGGGGTCTGACGAAAAAAAAAAAAACATGTCCCTGGGCTGCCCAGGCTGCAAAAGGAAATTGCGTGATTTGAAGGCTTCGCCTGCCAGGGTTAATGGAATGGACAAAATGAAATTCACACCACTAGCCACCAAAAAAACCTTGGAACGCGGTTTTTGGAGAAGGCTACAGAAAAGGCCAAAGGCTGCGGCCGAACCCTTTGCCTCGGGCACGCGCTGGCGTTCCCAATCCTAGTTGGTGCTTTGGAGTGGCCCCCTCCAAAGCACCGGTCCAAACCACCGAACCTCAGGCATTTTGCGTGGGCAAAACGCCTGTTGGAGAAGCCTCCATCCACAAATTCCACTTTGTGTTCCATGTTCTTATGCTCGGACTGCATCCACCGACCTGATGGTTGCAGCATGGAAGCTGGTCCTTCCCCTCATGGCTTTGCATGACGCCGATATTCAAATGGCGCAGCCGCTTTCAAAGTTCTGGGAACTCCTCCCTTGAAACAACTGCACCCCCAAAGGGCAAACGATCAAAAAGTTCAGTTAGGCCAGTTCAGCCTTTGGAGTTTCATCGAACTCCCCTGTTGACCTCTCCCCCAAAGGGCCGAAAAAGAGCCCCAAACAAAAAGGCTCCACGTGACCTGCGCAGCCTTAGGCCGGGGCCAAGTAGTGCCGAATGCCTGCAGCTCCTGCCAGTTGAGAGTTAGGCTTGCCACACTTAGTGATGTTAATATTAAAATAATAAATCACCACCACTGTTTAATCCGTTTGACCTTCTGGAAAAAGGGCAAGGGACGAGGGTTCATTAATGCGACGTTTGACCTTCTGGAAAGAGGGGAGGGGAGGAGGGTTCATGAATACGACGTTAACATTAGGTAATTCATAATCATGATTCATACTCCCCGCAGTTGTTAATTCGGTGTCTCAATAGGGGAAACGAAGGGGGATTCACACGCTTTTGGGCGAGCGTGACTTTTCTGATGTCAGAGCATGCCAATGTGTAAAACATCAAAAAATATCACGGCCTGGAGGGAGACTTGTTGAGGAGCTTGGGACTGCACCGGATGCGGGCTTGGATCATGCCGAACCGACTGGTGTCCCCCTATCACGCGACTCCTTGGAATCATAGGCATACTTCCCTGAATGTTCTACAAATGGCCTTTCAACAGCCCAGGCTCTCTCGGAAACAAACAAGCAGGGCCTGGGCGGCCCGAATGCCCTTCCTTAATCACGTCTTTTGCCGGCTCTGACTCTCCCCAAGTCCATACCCCTGTCTTTTCTCCAGCCCAGTCCTGTGGAATGAAACCTCTGGAAAAGGCCAACGCACGTCGTCCAGTAGCGACGCCATGCCTCGGCTGCGAACCAAACCCCATCGCCACCGGCGGCCCTGGAAAACGGGAACCCTTCGTCTTGGCCACTTGGGAACCCCAAGCGAGCCACGTCCAGAGTCCCGCCCCATTTTGAACAACCCTCTCTTGGCCTTACTCCCCTGGTTGGCAGAAGGAATCTTAAAGACGCCATCCAGGTTTAGGATTCACAGCAGCCTCTATGGCAAGTCTTCCAGGGGCTCTGGCTCAGGCTTTCCGAGCAAACTAGATTCTAAGACAGAAAGCGTACGCAAGTGTGACCAGCCATGTCCCTTGCAAAGACTTAAGCTGTCCATGACTAAGTCTAGCTTCTGAACCTAGACGTTTGCATCTCGCACAGTATTGCGCCTGTTTCTCCCGAAGCACGGCGAACTGCTCAACAAAAGTCACGGCCAGCTTTCTTGTAAAGGTAAAAAACACAAAACAGCTTGTAGAGCCCACGGACACAGAACAATGACACGAAACATCTTGCGCAGAGTACTTACGGAGAACGCATGGAGCTTCATTGCTTCGTTGAACGGGTAAGCTGCACAATCAACTTGCACAGGGCGTACTCCCGAAGAAATACAACTCAAGGTAGCAGCTTCCACAGAGCTTACTTGCGACAGAGCGCGCTTTAATTGCGACAAAAACCCACGCGTAGTTGCGGAAAAAAGAACTGCCAAAAAAAAGAAAGAAAGAAAGAAAAAAGAAAGAAAGAAAGAAAGAACGCCTAATTGCCAAGGACAACGCTACAATGACTCTTGAAAGTCCTCCTAGGGACTCTTACAAGGCCTTACAAGTATGCTTACAAGGCCTTACAAGGATCCTTATGGCCATACAGGGCTCTTGCAAGGCCTTTCAAGGATGCTTACAAGGCCTTTGACACCCGAATTTTACAAGGCCTTACAAGCCATTCTTACAAGACCTTACAAGGTTCTTACGCATTACAAGGGGACGGGGCTGCATCGGCGGCGCTTCTTTTCATTGCGCCTGCGGTTGCAACCAAACACACCGCACGCACTGCTGGCCGTCTCCCACGTCTGCAGCTCACGCTCCCACATGTATATATAGCGCTTGCCGTGCTGGCTGAGGTGGAGAATGAGTTCGGCAACCTGCGGCCGACACTGGACTGGCTGCGCCTATGGGTTTTTCCTTGTGCAGATCTTCGTGATCTTCGGGCGACACAATGGACATTCAGCAGGGTCGTATGTCTTTGCACGGAAACGCACACACACACACACCTGCTTGTCACTTCAGGACGTCCCGCATTCCAAGAATTTTAACGATTCCAACGCAAAGCTTCCAAGGGCCCGAGACTGCTCAAAAAAGACCAGGGTTCCAGGTCAGCAGCAGCGATCATGCGCCTGACTGGGGTTCCGGCAACATCTGGCGAAAGGATCCAGCCCTAGGCCCACTGCCCGCGCCTCGACCGCGAGCGGCGCCTCTTCGAGCAGAAGCAGAGGGAGATGCCGCGCTTGTGTCTGGAGCACAAAGTTGACACCCAGCGCAACCTGGCGGAGCGAGAAGGGTGAGCGGGCGAGCCTCACCCTCGCCTCAAGCACATCGCCCCGGCTTTCCGCGTTGGTCCACTGCTCGGCCCCAAGAGCGCCCCAATCTCGAGCTCCCCCCAAACTGGGGTTCGTGTAGCGGACTCCGCTGCCAGGTCAGGCGGTCCTGACACACATCACTTGGCAACCGCCAACCCCTGTCCTCCGACCAAGAGGTGGGAGACAACAGGGCGTGGACAAGTAGTTGTCGGACGCGACCATGCCACTTCACCCTGGGAATGCGCTTGCCCGAGGGCCTGACCCGACAGAGCGCTCTGACGATGACGAGAGCCAAGCGGCCGTTCAACGCCTGCAGGACCAGCGCTCTGGCACGGGCATACTCGTAGACTTGGAGCAGAACAAGGATGCGAGCTTGCTTGAGTGCGTCTGAGAGCGTCACGCCAGCACAACGCCATCGGGACACCTTGCCTTTTAGGCGCTGGCCAGGTGGCCAAGAATGTCGCCCAAAAGATAACCTTCGCATGGCCCTTCATTGATGCTCGCAACGAAGCAAGTCGACCGCCAAAAGGTTGGAAGCCAAAAACACTACAAATTGAAGTCGGTGGAAGCCTTGAAAGCTGAGCACCGAGCTTCACAAGCTCTCTTCACTTCGAAGTGGAAACTAGGAGTCTTACAAGACCCGCAACAAAGTCTTAAGGCGTCTTACAAGGCCATTACAAGAAGATTTCCTTGATAAAACTCCTTGTAAGGCCTTGTAAAACTCCTTGTAAGGCCTTGTAAGACTCCTTGCAAGGCCGTGTAAGACTCCTTGTAAGGCCGTGTAAGACTCCTTGTAAGGCCGTGTAAAACTCCTTGTAAGGCCGTGCAAGACTCCTTGTTAGACTCCTTGTAAGGCCTTACAAGGAGTAGTCTTGTAAGGCCTTGGAAGACTTCTTGTAAGAGTCCTCGTAAGGCCTTGTAAGAGTCACTGTTCTTACACAATTAAGGGCGTGTGTTTCACGCAACTAATCGTTTGTTTGTTTCTTTCGGTGTTATCAAAATTGATGTGTACGTTATTAGTAGCTCTTTTTCGTTATCAGGTGGCCTCACTCTACTTGCGAGAATATGTGTTACACAGATCAACTTGCACAGAGCTTGCTTGCTATGAGATCAATCACTCTGAACATATTGCACATAGCTTTCTTGTGAGGAGATAATTTGCACAGATCTGCTATACGGTTCCTACTTCAAAGAGGCATCGTTCACAAACCAACTTTAGCAGAGATTGTGTTGTCCTTAGATCGTGGTTGCGAAGAAAAACCATATACACTTTCGAAGAACGAGCGCTCTCATAAACATGAGCATTTGACTTTGACTGACGATTGTGCTACAACAAGCTGATAGGGATCACCCTAGACCGATTGTCCATGAACCGAACCTGTGGCAAGTCAAAGCTCCCCAAAACCGCCACTTCTGCTTCTGCCCCGTGTGGAAACTCGCTAGGGACGCAAGTGCATTTCTTTTTCCTGCCTCAAACATCACCCGGGGAAAATCAGCCGCAATTGGTCCAAGTGATGTTTAAACTGACTCGCTTTGAAGGGAAATCTAGGGACACAAGTCTGGCCATTCAAATCCTCCACCAGGGCTCCAGCGGTGCGTGCTGTCTCAAGTGCTTTCCTGGGTCGCCCGGTCGCGAAAATCGCAGCCAGGCATGAAAACACGGGATTTTAGTGGACCGCCCAAATTGATCGTTGTCCTTTTGGATTTCCCTTTAAACCCGAGCAAAAAGGGGGTGTCCCAAAAAACGACACACCCATATTGGCCCTGTGGTTCTAAACATCACCTTTTGGGCCAATCAATTTAAGTTCCTTGTAGGGTGATGTTTCAAGGGGAATTTTTGGGGGGCCTCCGGGAATACCGACATGCACAATCTCCCAGAGTTGTGGGCATCACCTTTGCAACATACCCATCTATGAACCCGTCTCGGAAGCTGTAGCTCTGAGTTGCTGAAAGCATTCAGGGCTCCTATTATATTTCTCCTTAAAACAACACTACCAAGGGACACTCACCTTTCACGGGCCAAAAAGGTGATGATTGAAACCACAAAAAAGGGGGAAATATAGGGGCCCCTGCTATTTCAGTCTGTTCCCTGGATGTTGGCTCTGCGCAAAAAGTCAGCTGCGTGTTGGTAAGTGAACCCAAAGCTGCATGTTCCCAAGACGTCAAAGCCTCACACCAGGGGGTCGTCCCAACAAGTTCAACGAATATAGCTTGTGAGCTATAACAGGTCACAGGAGCAGCCACATCCACCCTACCACAAGGGGGAGGGGGGTGGGGCCCGTTGCCGCACTTGGCAATTGAAAACGACGAGTTTGCCCACGGAAAGTCGGCTTCGGATCCCTGGCAAAGAAGCCGAAATGACTGACTCTAGAGGCAAAACCAAGGCTCCGCAAGCCCTGTGCAAGGAATCTCAGAACCTTCTTAGAAGGGTTCCGTGGGTGAAACGGAACCACTCATATTACCCGAAATCGGTGAGCTGGCACGGATCCAAGTCCTTCTGGTTTTCCAAGAACGGCATATCCAAATCCACAAAGTGGCTGTCCAAATGCTCAAACTTTTTGGACACCTCCTTGTTGAGAGGATAGAGATTGCAAAAACTGGACGTTGGGCACATCAAATTCCAAGTTCTGCTTGTTCGTCGCCTTTGGAGACTGGAATCTTGACTTTTCGACAACCTTCGTTGAGCATGCCAACAAGCTGAAAAGTCGGCTGTTCGGTTCCAGTTGCTTTTGGACATCGCCCATACGGTCCATCAAGGTGACCTCCACATCGCCCCGTCTGAATGCGGTTCAAAGGGAAAGCAGTCCAAAAGTGAGTTGGAGCGCCTCTCAACATGTTCACTTCATGGGGACCCAGAATCAGAGTGACTCTGCCAGCAAGACCCGAACCCCAGTCCCGCCCCCGCCTCCATTCTGCCACGTCCGCCTCCTGGGAAACGCCGAGCTCCTGCGAGGAGCAGAAGGGGCGAAGGCTGAGTGAGTTGGGTGGGAAATGATACTTATACCAAGATGGTTGATTCCCACGACAAGTCTGCAGGGGCCACTGAGTGGATTTCCCTTGAAAAGCTGCACTGACCTGGTTCAACAAAATTGCAACTTTTGGAGGTCCAACAAAGGGAAATGGAGGGAGCCCTGAGTCAATTGTATTACAGGAAGTGGTCAAGAACACAGCACACTGTTTAAACCACCACCACGAGTGAAGTTGGTGGAAATGCGGATATTTTTTGGAGCTCGTCTCCAAATTCCTCCCTCCGAGATGGGCCAAAGTTGATATGTTGAGCGGCCCCCAAGGTGGGAATGGTGTTGTTTTTCTCTGCAGGACCCTCAAAATGGATGGGTTCCTCAAAATCTGGCAAAAGGGTACCCTCGCAAAGAGGACCCCCCCCCGGGCTATGCTGGAGTGGGAGAATTAAGGGGCAGATGTCGGTTCAAGTAAAGAGCAAACAATGATTGCGCTTGAAGCTGGTGCCTCCATTTCAATTAATCCGTCTCAAAGCAACCCAAGTGCTAGAGCCATGATAATTGTTCTAGTTGGCGCAACCACTTGACAGACAAAAGGTAGACCAAGAAAAGGAAGAGAACAAACAACATGTAAACAGAACAAGCACATTGCTCCAAAGTAAACACGCCCCAAGTCAAGCCAAAAAGCGATCGGGGTGGTGCTCCCCGCTTACACAAAAGCGAGTTGTCCATTTGGATGTGTTTGGAGGGTGCCAACTAAATTATCTAAGTCGGTGTCTTTCTGAGTGTATCCTTTTTGGATGGTTTGAAAGGGAAGCCAAAAGGAACACCAGCCCTTCCGAAAACCCCCACCGGAAAAAGAAAAAAAAGACCGACCCAAATGCCCCAATCCCCGCAATTTACCAGGGTTTGGTGGGATGAACTCACAAGATGCCACCGAGAAAGGGGGTAACTTGAGAAGGACGCAGCAGCGAAAAACCCAGCCATGGGGGCAGTTCCCCCCCATGGAGCCCCCTGAAAGGCAGCGAAACCGATCGCGCAGCCCAGGTGGCCCAAGTGCCTAGAAAAGGCGAAAGGTCCGACCCCTGGTTTTTCAACCGGGACCCAAAGGCAAACCCTTGGCCACTGGTAAGCAGGTTGTTCACTTTTGCATTGCAAACCCTCCTTTTTTTTTACCCGGAAAAACCCACGAGCTTGGAGCTATTTGAAGTTCCACTTGAGGCTCGCTGTCCCAAATTACCTGCGGTCATTGCCAGACGCTTCATTCGGGGGAACGAGAAGGGGGGAACCTCTCTAAACGTCGACCAAAAGACCAGCCCCAACTTTCCCGCTTGGCCTCTTGGGGGAAAAAAAAACATCGAGTGTGGCTCACATGGCTTCACCACCTCTCCCAAGTAAACTGTTGCTACGAAGGTTCTAAACATGCGTTGTGCTCTGATGGAATTTCAGGGTTGGCCGGGTGTCCCAACGAGGACAAAGCCATCAAAGGCCTCTAAACACCTCCACTGTCAGGTCGGTCAAAACTCTCCGAGATGTCGAAGGTACTAGGTATCTGTTTTACAATATGTACATGCGTACATACATACATATATATATATATATGTATGTAGTATATGCCAATGTCGTTCATTACCCAGCACTCTAGGCATGTCATAAGGGGGTACATGGGGGCACCTACCCCAGCCGCCCGTCCGCAAGCTGCCCGCCTCAGGACCCTGCCATAACGCAAAAAAAACCTGGCCGGCGCTGTGGGTCTGTTCTCTCGACTTCCCTACTTTGGATTGGCGAACAAGCGGAACAAGCCACAGAAAAGTCTCAGGAAGGCTCTGAGAATGGGCATAGAGCGCGAGAAAGGACGCCCAAAAGAAGAGCACAAAACAATACCAAGAACAGGGGGCGCAGGTGCTCGGGTCCACATACATGGCGATTGACACCTTTGGGTTCCGCGCCTCCAACGGGAATCAAGCACGCTAAACCCAGGATCAACAAACCTCTCTTTGACTAATTGGGAATCCTTGATTTTTTGTCGGCAACGCCCCACTGACAATCCGGAACAACCTTTTTTCGTGGCAGCCCTGTACCAGACACCATGAACTGAACCAAAGTCGCAGAAACTCAAAACTCATAGCAAGGACATTGAAGACAAGCTCGGGTGCTTGTTGAGGGTACCTTCGAGGCCTATATGAAAGTATAGCCAAACAGAAACTGCCAATGTTATCTCCCTACCTTTGCTGTTTGAAGAGAGCAGGCAAACGGAACACCAGCAACTTCACGGCCTCATATAGTCAAGCACCAGTTGCACTTGCGGGAACATGACACGACCAAAGGAGCCGAGACCGCCGAGCCCGCCTCACATATGAGTACCCCGAAGGCGTAGTGGTCCAGGCGATTTGCATATTGTTCTCGGCGTGGAAGGAAGGAAAACGCGCACACACATCACACACACACACGCCAAAACAAACAATCGCCTGGTGCTTGGACACCTCCATTTCTATCATTTGCCCGTTGGTTTGCGGCATGATGCCACGCCCTTGACAGGCTTGTTCATGTGCCATCCCTGGTGTCAAGGGGTGAACAAGTGGACAGGCTGTTGTCAGACCTTATGGGCCTCAAACAACGAACTTTCCGCTTTGCACTCTTGAAATGTAAAACTTTTGTATATTGAAACACGCTACTCAAGAGCATGTTCTGCAAATGTCGTCAAGTGCAAGATTTGGCACGTTGCAACTCTTTTGTGCCAGACCCCACACACCCTGCCCCTAAATACAGGCCTGATTGATGATTTATGAAGGTTTACAACCGCAAAAGGGCATGGAACAACTTGTGATGCCCCTGCATTTCTGAGACACTTAGTGACTCCCCCATGCCCCTCCCAAATGAACTATATATACCATCATATGTTTACTGTATCTGAGGACCACAAACAAACCAAGCAAAATGTGACCAAACCTCACATTCGGCAACAAGGGGAAGCTGCAAGCAACGCAGCTCGCTTCAGCCAGCCGCCCGAAGAGAGTTCAGGGTTAACAACATGATGACGTAGTGATCAATATTAAAGGCGCCACACACACACACAAAAAAAATGTGGTCAAAGTTCCCAACATGTGGGCGTAGTCCTTGCTTCCGTATTAGGAACCGTGCATGGTGAGGGCCCCGCTGGTGAATCAACCAAGTGGCTTATTCATCTTGGGTTCCCAATACATCTCTGCTGATGAATCCTACGCCAAGGTAGTCTGGAATGAACAGCTCTGCATCTACGTCAAGGCACGCGCGCACACACCCACACACATGCAGAATCAACTCTATGTTTGTTTACTCAGCGCATGCGTCCAATTGAATCCGGATATTTCACAAGCCAAACGCGAGGGCTACCTATTACGGGACTCTTTCGTGGCAGGATTCCTTGAAATGACATTTGGCCCAACTGTACAATTATGCTTACCAGCTGATTTAGAGGATCCCCATGTGAAGCAGGCGCTTCTTGGATGTATCCTTTGAGGAACGCTGAATGGGTGAGTTCATTTTGCATCCTCGTGTGAAGTCGTATAACTTGCCTAGAGTGCCACTCTCAAATTAATTAGTGAGGGCACCCCTTTTTGCCAACCCTGGGTGCGTTAGCCGAAAATTGCGTTCTTTGCAGCCCAAGAAAAATGGATAGAACCAAACATTTACGTTGGCAGTTCAAACGAATCAGACTGTTTGACCAAAAGAAAAACTGGCCGCACTCGGCCCGCTGGCTCTTCTTTCTGATCGCTGAGCCGGCGACGCTGCCAATAAGCCTTGGGGTTGTTCTCCAAATATCTGGCGCGGCCCAAGTGGCACTTGCCCGGAAGCAAAACGAGTTCCACTGGCCCCAAAGGGAAAGTGGGGATACAACTTGGGTGACCCATTGAATGGATTCAAACAACTGGGTTCCTTTCCGAAGCTACACACTTTGTTCTTTGGTGCAAGCAGAGTGTGGAATAGCTGCACGATTGGGCCTTCAGGCAAATGGTGAGCTGAAACCCTTGGGAGGGGCTCTGTGCTGATTTGCTGAGGATTCCACAACTTTTACATAGGAAACAATTCACTGGCACCTGCGTCTTGGTCTCTCCAGAAAGACCGGCCTGCAGTAGAAGCAAACAACTGAAGCGACTAAGGAGCAAACAACTGCCAAGCGGAGCAGCAGCAGAAGATGCAGCGGCCATGCGCTGAATCTACAAAGCCCACTACACTGAAAGTCCAGATTAAAATTCCACAGTAGAGGAGTGCTGGGTGTGCCTTTTTTTGGAGGGCACCCTCTTTTATGGTGTTAATGGAAAACCAAAAGGAAAACCACCGTCTTGGGGCCCTAGCCACGTGGACTTGCGTATGTTGCAACTTTACACTTCCCGGGCAGTCAGGCTCAAAACCCCAAGTCTGGCAGGGGCTGTTTCCGAGCTCACTCCAAAGACTCTGGTGGCCTGGTACCCTGCGAATGACAGAGCAATCACTAGGAAACTGGGTATGCATCCTATCACTCATGGAAGCCCGATACCCAAGAGTTGTTGCCCCGAACAAGGCTTGGTAAGGCCTCGCTAGGATCGCAAACGCACACGCGCACACACTCGCGCGCACACACAGACACACACGCACGTGCATGCCGCTCTAAGGAAAACCCTACCCCACTCTGAGAGTGGTGCCTCTCTCAACCCTGGGTGCTTGCTGTGGGTGTGAAATAGAGCTTGGGACGCTTTGGTGGACATCGTTTACACGGGGACGCAAACCCTTGCGCCTTGTTTGACAAATTGCAGGGTGGTGCCGCAAGTTCCATCGAATGGGTGACTTGTGATCTTGGTCAATATTCAGTCCCAAACAGGATTTGACTGTGTTGTACCATCATTTTGGTTGTACAGTAATTCGCCAACCTGAGACAAAAAATGTTTGTGTCTATTTACGTGTATGTGCAGCAGCATGTGCGTGCGGGTGTGTGGGTGTGTGGGTGTGTGGGTGTGTGGGTGTGTGGGTGTGTGGGTGTGTGGGTGTGTGGGTGTGTGGGTGTGTGGGGGTGTGTGGGTGTGTGGGTGTGTGGGTGTGTGGGTGTGTGGGTGTGTGGGTGTGTGGGTGTGTGGGTGTGTGGGTGTGTGGGTGTGTGGGTGTGTAGGTGTGTGTGGGTGTGTGGGTGTGTGGTTTGTATGGGTGTGTAGGTGTGTGTGTGTGTGTGTGCGCGTGTAAGTGAGGGTTTCTGTTCGAAGGTACCTTTTCAGGTTTGTTTAAATGGACACCAAAAGAAAAACCCTGTAAGATTGCACGCATGTGAGATCATCAGCATGTGAGATCGCAAGCCAATGCGAGATTGCAAGCCCACACAGTGCTATACTTCCCCTGTAACCATCGCCCTCAAAATGAGGCTCACTCCAAACGGGCCCAGCAAATGTTTCTGGTCGGACCCCTAGTTGGGCCATGAATCTTAGAACAGGCTTCCGTTCCTAGATTGTCTTTCCCTAGACTTCAACCCAGCAAACAAGATAATCAAACATCGTGATCACGGCTTGCTGGTGCGAGTAGGGAATGAGAATTGGAATGAACCCAGGCTTTGGTCCTGGAAACCACGAGTTGGATGGTTTATAAGGAGAGTTCCAGTTCTCATTCCCATCTCTCGCACCATCTCCTTCGAGACATCGGGAGCCGAGCCCGAGCCGCTCGGCCTGTACCCGTGCGTCAGCTGCATCCAGGCGGAGGGAGCAAAGTACCGGGGATCTCCCGCGATGTTACGGCCCTGTCAGCCGGGTCGCCAAGGAGTCGTCAAGGGGTCGCCAAGTCGCCAAGGGCCACCCACTTTGGTAAGACATCTATGCATGTTCTAGAATCATCTACTTTGCCGTCACCTTGCAGGAATGCAGAACATACCCGCGGAAGGATACTTCTATCCATGTTATCCCTGTCTCTAGCGTTGTGTGTGTGTTTAGGCACACAGCCTCTGCTGTATATTGCAGAGACGCCTGCCCAGCTTGCGGTCGAGTCCTTTGGTCTTTGGTTCCCTTTCTAGGATACCAAAAGCAGTGATTCTCATCTGACCGTGACGCAATCATATCTCTTTCTCCCGCAACCAGAGTGTCTTTCTGGAGTTGGAGAAGAGTTTAATAGTGTCAGCTATGATTTGGGTTCTCACCATCGCTCCGTGAATTAGTACCCCAAAATCGAGCTTGCCACCCTGGATTGGTGTGGTCCTCCTTATCCGAAGTAGGGCCCTATGGCAGCTGGTTATGCTCCATCAAGACTCGATTGGGAATTGTTGGGGGCCCACAGGCAAACGAAGCCCCAGTTGAACCGTCTGGAAAATGCCGGGTTCATACCAAAATTCATCTATATCATGTGTATATATATATATGCATATGTGGGGCCCGCAAATGGAGGTTATGCGGTTGATCTCCCTTTAAAACATCCATCAAAATGGTACCCTGAAGCACGCGCACCCATGTAGATTCATACATGCAGCCTTTAAGCAATTGGAGGTCAATTTGTGAATTCAGGTTAGCCAAAAGTAATTACTTAGTGCAAATGCTTGGACTCATTTGAGAATGTTCGCTTCCGCAGGTCGAACTGGGGTAGCTGCGGCAACTTCTTAATCAAGTTGTTTTTTCCCCCGGCCACGCACCGGAAGGAAAAGGATGCCGTTCCTGAATGTTCGAGGGCACCAATGGCACACTCCGGCGGGCAAACTCTGGAGGGCAAATCCCTGGCGAAAAAACATGTACGGGAAAGAAGCGGAGGGTGTGCGCAAGAAATCCCAACGGACCCGATCAAAAGGGTGGGAATTCGGACCCTGTCAAACCAAAGCAAACCGTTGACATGTTTGTTGTTTATTATTAAAAGATTCGGACTTGTTGATTCCGTCCAAATGGAAAAACAAAAGGCACTTGTTCAAACGGACCTGAAAAGGGGAGCTGCCCCCGATTGGTCGAGCTACAACTACAACCCCCTTTTCGTAAGAACATTCTAACCCGTTCTTGGGCCTTGATCACTTGTTCGGGGCAGCTCACACTGGCATGTCGTTGTTTCCAGGATGGGAAGCCCATAATGAGGCCAGGTCGGTGTTTCCAAAGAAGACAACGTACTGCAATGTACCATGGCTTCTGGTTGGCTATGGAACCCAAATCTTCTCTGGGTCATGTGGCTGAAACAAATTGCTAAAAGAGGGAGCGAACAACAACTTGCCCAAACTTAGCCCATTTTCCCCGGCACAAAGTGGGATGTTCCGGTCAAAAAGGGAGAATGACTCAGCCCAAAAGGGGCCAAGGGCAAAAGGGTCCTGGAAGCGCTCTGCTCTCCTTGGTTTCCACTAAAATGTCTGATTCTGCTTCATATGGTGCGTCTATTCTTTGGGGAACCCCCACAAAAATGGCTTTAGTTCAAACCACAGATGGAACTGTCTGGGACATGAACCCCCCAAAAGGATGCCTTTTGCAGCAGCAAGCCAAACAAAGCCAAGCGCGCGGCTTTCGAGATATGTCCCCCTTCAACACCACTCCAAAAGGAAGCTCACTTTGTCCATTGGCAACCACAAGGTGTGTTTGAAGCTAGCCTTGGGGAAATATCGGGAACCTTGTCAGGTCCACCGGGTCCCCTTATCCGGTGGTTGAATGAGGGAAACCACCAAAATGGGCGTTCAACTTACTCCTGTAAACAGCTTCCATGTCCTTGCCTGGAAAGAGATGTTCCAGAATATGTGTAGCGGTTCCCTTTCATGCCAGGAGAACCAAAAAGAAGACAAGTCTTAAGCAAATGGGCGCAAGTCTCCGATGGGCCCCGGAACCGAAGGTTTCCGAGGAACTCTGGGGCCCCGGGCCCGCCACTCCTGCTTCCAGCCACCCGAGCGAACCGCCAAGCCGAAGTCAAGCACCGCGAACTGACGCCGGCGCGCGGAAAAAAGCGACGCGCGATGAGCAATGCTGTTTGAAGACATCCAATCTGGTCAGGTTTGGTATGGTTTAGCTAAGCTTGGTGTAATTGGTGTACCATGTGCGAAAGCCGGCCTTCGGCCAAGCTCGGGGCTACTTTCGCAGGAGACATGACTTGACCTTTCTCTGCCCTCGGTTCTACTGAACTGGTTTCAAAGCGAAATAGGTAGGAACCCTAGTTACAAGAGATTGTGGTTCAGCCGGGTCAAAATTGGGGTTGCTACAAAGATAGCACGTTCTTGATCGACCGTAAGTGAGGGGGGGTCAGAAAAGAGCTGAACGAGCAACCACTTGGGTGCGTCTTTGTTGAAAGTCCTCTTTTTCGGGTTGGTTCAGTTGGTTCAGAGGGAAACAAGGAAACCGTTGAAGGGTGGAGACCAACCAGCGATTCCTCCCGAAGGGCTTTGGGGCTGGATCAGCCCGCCAGCATCTGGCCTTCGACCCTCTCTTCTCATCTCTTTCAACTTGTGGTTTTCCGCTTGCGACAGGGAAGCCGAAAAATGTTGGAGTGGTTCATGCCTGCTCAATATTTTGGAAACCTCTGCCTGTGCAACTTGTGGAAAAGGAAAAGGACACTAAAAAAAAAGCTTGGCGGTTGACTCCCATCCAACAATACATTGTCATCGCAAAGCCCAAGAACCCTACTTCACACATGCTCTTGGGGCCAATGCAATTCTCAGAGCCACTCGCCAGGTCACTTAGTTGAAAAGGAAAGGAGGCCCAACTCAAAACAGAAAGAGCCTCAGAACCTTCTCTTTGGGGGACCTTTCCACAATGTATACGTATATGGATACGCATATGCATCTGTATGTGGATGTGTATGCGTATGTGAATGTGTATGTGCATATGTATGTGTATGTGCACATGTATGTGTATGTGTATGTGTATGTATGGTGTCTGTATGTGCATATGCAGTGCATATGCAGTGCAAAGGCAAATGCATATGCATTTGGATATATATATATATATATATCATGTGCATATCTAGTATCCCCTGCAACGGCCTCACCCCAAAATTGCAGCCGAAGGTGATGCGAACAATCGGCAAAAACGGAACACCAACCCAAACGTTCTGCGTTTCGTGGCGGCTTTTGCTATCAGTTGCCTTTCTTGGGATACATTTTCCACAGGGTGGGGTTCACAAATATCACTTCCCCTCCACCTTCACGGGAACGGCAGCATCCTCGCACTCCTCCTCAGCTTTCGCAGCTTAGCCGGCTGGAGATGTGGGGAGCTGCTGCTTTCCCAATCAGAAGTATTACTATAAACGCCTTGCTAGTTCCAACGGGGGCATGGGGTCGTAAAGTGCTAGCATTCGTCTAGCGATGACTACAAGTAGATTGACCCAACCAAATCCTGAGGCAAATTGATGGTATTTTTTTGAGAACCTCTTTTGCTCCTCCCCGGAACGAACTGATTACCTCCACTATGCCAAATGATAGAATTTGTTTGAAACAACAAGAAAATTACATATATTCCTAAGCAAATGGAAGATTCCTATCGAGGTGTCCTTTTGCTTTTCGATTCATGACCTGTCAATAGCTTTGCGGGAAGCGAAACAGGCCGGTATATGTGGGACTTGAGGGTACCCCTTTCTTATGGCTTGAAAAGGGAAACCAAAAGGAAAACCAAAAAGAAAACCACCGTTTTGGGGTGTCCCCTAAAACAAAACACACCCATTTGTTCAAAAAACTATCAGCCTATGTGTCCCTGACTGCTCTGGACCTGGCTTCGGCAGGTTTCGGGAGGCTTACTTTCCATTGTCCAGCTGCAGGCGCACACACGCACACACAATCCAAGTACAGCACAAGCATCTGTGTGACAATTCCCCAAAAATAAAGAGAAGAAATCTCTATGACAGGAACCATCACCGTGGGTTTGGTGAAACGGCCAATCCTGTAGGGCTTGCTATACTTCGCCCGCGTAAACGTCAAAACCCAACCCGTTTAGAAGCAGGTGCAAGCGTTTGGACTGGTAAATCGCAGGGAAAGATCGCTTTTGCAGCCACTTACGCTTCCGAGATTGAAAAGCAACATGCTTGTTGTCAACAGGTCCCCGGGCTCGCCACAATGATGGCACATTACAGTGACCTTCTGTTGGCGTTATCGATTGCAAGATTCCCCAAATTCTCCCCCAAAAACCTGCCCCTGCCGAGGGAAGCTTGCCCTCGATGGGACAAAAAGGGGATGGTAAGAACCATCTGAGACCCCGAAAGAAGGACGAGCTTGGCTCTTGATCGAATTCCAAGCACCATCCACAACTGCTGGATTGAAGATATGGGTTCCTACTTGCAAGATGCCATGGGAAGACAAGTGCAAGCAAAAAACACACACTCCACCGAGTCGGGCAGCCGGCCTCGCAATCCATCCAGCCCCACCCCAACCCCTGTTCTGGCAGACATGCCCGTGGGCGAACCCTACCGCAACCACACTTTGATGGCCCAATCATGGGTCCGGCACCCCCTAGCATAAACAACGCCCGTACGCAAAGGTGAAAAGCCTATCGCGCGGAAAGCGCCCGGCCGAAAGCTTCTGCCAAGCGGCGATCAAGAAATTGTGGGCCGAGATGTCCCGATGGAAAGCCTGGCATCGCACCAGGCGCTCGCGAGTATCAATCACTTGGCCCAAGTGGATGCCCTCAGCACAAGGTTTGGGCGGGAAACCCAAAACCATCACGGGCACCACATGCAGGTAAGCTAGACGCCCATGCCCGGATCAGCGGAACACAACTCAGTTGCTTGAAGAATAGCAACGTACTCATCTCTCGCTCTCTCTCTCTCTCTCTGTCTCTCTCTCTCTCCCTCTATCTCTCTGTCTTGGAGTGTGTAGCTATAGAATCATCATGAAACCACCGGGGCGGAAATCGCTGGAGGCCATGCAAAGTTGTGACGCCGTTCAGGCCATGGGTTCTTGGGTTATAGGATTCAAACCCACCTCCCAACAAATTGCAGCAGGGCCCGGGTTTGGATGCGGCGTGACTAAGGTTGGACACTCCAAAATGATGCTGCTTTTTAAGAAGGGCAGCCCCTTCGCGAGCGAAAGCGGGCCCCGCATTCCAACGATTCAAGGCCATACATGGCCATCTTCCTTTGGGCGAGGCCGTTGGAAGGCCCCGAATGAATGGACTCCGGGAAACGTCTGTCGTGCAAGATGGCATACATGTACAATGCAGGAAATTGAGAAGAACGCCAACCTGAAAATAAGAAATGGACCCCCAAGAAGAAAGCTTCGTGGAAAGATTGGTCCCAAAAGGACAGGTCAACCCAGCCCAAATCGCCGATTTGGTTTCCCGGCGATCTTTTGCAGTGTTGCAAAGACCGGGCTCATCTGCTTCATCAGTACCTGGGCTCAGCCAAGGACACTTGGACGGTTTAGGGCTTCTCCACTACAACAAACTGTGCGGCTTCAGGATACGGCAATAGGCATGAATCCCGAAAAGGGGGCAGAATGGAGATTCCTCGCACCAAACCAGGCTTTTTGTTGAGCCCAGTTAGACCGGGATTTTTTGTCCGTGAAGACACATCACACGGGCTAAATCATTACACACATGATTATCTGAGAGCGTGACTTATTGTATTGATAAAATCCCAACCACAACCTCATTTTTTACGGCCCTACCCTCCCTTGCGTCCATCCGCTTTCTGTTTGGGCGCATCCAGAAAGGGGCCGAAAAGGCGAGTCGTTCGCAAAACCTTGAGTTTGGGAGAAGTACTGTCCACCTCGGATTGATCAACCTAGAGAAGTGTTAGTGTGTCCCCCCACAGTAAAGGATCGCATCTTACAAGTAAATGGGGGATCATTCTATTTGGGCTGTTAGTATCAGGCACAAACCATAAAAAAGGAACTTCCAAGCGAGGGACCATCATGAATCGTTCAGTTTACCCCCGGCTCTGTGAGCTTGTGCTAATTTGTGCAGAGGTGTCAGAAGAGTCTGCAAAATCCCGAGAAACGAAGGGCCAAAGCCGCTCATGTGTGACACAATGCTACAATGACTCTCTGATCCGAATCGGTTGGCTCCTATGAATGATTCCTCTTGAATAATATCGAAAGCCTTGTTGGATGGTTTTGCCTGACTTCCACAATCAGGAACCCGGCATCGGTGGCTTTTCTCCACCTCCTGATATGGTTCCAACTAATGTCAGCTTTGGAGTAATGTGCTAGTCAGGGTGGTTCCCCTTGCTGACGGGGCATTCATTTTAGGTGGATTCTTCGGATTTTTGCGACAGTTCAACCCCCTGGCATGATTACAAGTCCACAACACACGACCTATGACCTTTCCACTTGAGACAAATCGGACCCGCGGCACAATTTTGAGCTGTATTGGTTGACAGGGAAGATGATTCAAGACCAAAAAGACACTGACAAACTTGAAAACCGGGTAAAACCGGAAAGCTAACAGAGTGAAGGAAAGCTTGGCAACAATCTTGGCGGCCCTTGTCGCCTGGCCACTCTTGGGTAGCGCTTCGCAACCCGTTGTCATGAGCATGCCCAGATCGGAAAGCGTAAGCAAAGTTTCCTGTGATGCCAGCATGGGTCAGTCATTCCCATGACTACTTTGTCAATTAGTTTGAACTGGATTCGCTCGGTATCACGGAACCTGGGTCCAAAGCCTCATTTTCCACAACCATGAGCCAAGTCTGTGAAAGTCCACCTCCGAAGCGATGCGCCGAGCGCTCGGCTGTCACCACGCTGCTGGCAGAGTCCAGACTCCTAGGATTTGCCAAGGGACAGGCGAGAATCACAATGGAGGCCCCGTCTCCCTCCCCTTTTTGGGTTTTGGGGGGGGGGGGGTGAAAAAAGGGGAACCAAAAGGAAAACCAGAATCTTGTGGGGTCCCCAAAAAACAGACACGCCCACATGTTTAAACACCACTTACAATTGTTTAAACTAGGTTGTGTTGGTTTCCCTTTTGGAGGCCCCAGTGTCTGGTTGAGTTGCACATGTTGCTCAACCCTAAGTTGTCTAGCTGGTTCCCAGCAGGGAATGAGTTGGAACGGCCCTGAGAAAAACCATCCCTGTGATAACAGTCACAATAAATCAAATATTAGAACACAAAATAATTAGTATGTATATTGTCTGTATTTAAGCTAAAAACTATGGAAAACACCGTGTTTTTGCATTTTATGAAGAAAGAAGGAAATAGTTCATGGGGGGGCTGACCATATATAAACTTTAATATATATATATATATAATATATACATATCGACATATCATACGAGTGCCCAAGAACAAACCCCGAAACCAACTTGACATCCCCATCCCGCCCCCCAAACTCCGCCTGGTGGACCGCTGGCCCTTCGGCAGTGGCCCGTCCAGGAGGTCCGGCATGCCTCGATGTCCCGAGAATTCGAGGGGCATCGTACCCCCAGTGATTATCCCAATCCAACCACTAAAATAGGTCTTAAAATGGGTGGTGCAGCAGGGCCCCTGAGAAAAGATGACCCCGAGATAAACCATCCCCGTTTTTGTTTTTTTTTTTTTTGGGGGGGGGGGGAATTTCTTCTGCGGTTCATTCCCAACCCCCGGAAGGTCATTCCCTACCACCGAGCAGTTTCCTTTAAGGGATTCCATCTGTGGTTCATTCCCAACACCCGGAAGGTCATTCCCTACCACTGAGCACCAGCAAGCACCTGCTAGACTTTGTGGGAAACTTACTGAGCCTCCCAAAATAATCATAGGCTACTGCAACTTGTGACGAACTTGTGAGTTCACACAACGGTTGTAGAAAATCACCCTTTCGGTGATACCAAAGTGGGCCATCCCACTTTGGTCGTGAGAACTGCATCACTTGGGGGGATAGCTTTATCACAAAGACTTGTTTATTAAGGGGGGTCCCCTTTTAGTGCTTGGATTCCTTTCTTCCCCTGACTAATAGCTAGGGGGGGGGTTATTAATCAGAAGGTCAGCATACCACTTATTTTAAGCCTTAAAATGATGATGTTCCTTTTGGTATCTCTTCACAACCACCAAAAACGGGGCACCTCCAAAACTGGCTGGTGATTCAACACCTCCATTTTGCTCATTTGCTCGTTGGCAAGTGGGTAAATAGTCATCTGCTCGTTTGCTCGTCCCTGAAACCCAGTCAGCAAAAAATGAAGCAAAAAAAGAGCCGCCTATGCAGTGATCCTTCGATTCTTCCTCCAAGTGCCGCGCTGATAACTTTCAGCTCCTGCTCGTCAATGCCATACAGCCTCAGGCAAAGCGAGCGTCCAGCTGCCCCTTCTCGACGGGGAACCCAACAAAAATCATGTGTCAAAATAGGGTAACCCCAATCTGGGTTGCCCTGGTAAATGGGAACAAGGACTAAAATCTGCGGTCACATTCCTGGTGGCTTGATTTTGACCCATACCCATTTCTAGAGCGCGTCGTCTCTTAGGGGTGCCGTCTCTTAGGGGCTCTTAGAACCTCCCTTGTGGGTCCTTATAGTGCATTTCGCAAAAAAAAAAAGGCAACCAAAGAGCAAACGTTCGAAAAAGCGAGGGGTGCTCTGGTGTAGGGAACCTCCTTTCAAGGCGCACAACTTTCATCCTACCAGAAGGCCCCATGGTCGACTGCCCCACTTTGAATGAAATTCAGATGAGCAAGCCAGGCATCTTCAAAATTGAATGTGGCCCAAAGTGACTTTTCCCACCATGATGGCTTTTCTGCTCGCTTTATAGGATCGTCCAGTCGACCAGCCAAGAAGGTCCAACCAATTTCAGAAATGTTGTTAGCTGAAACCAAACCTGGGTGTGTCTCAAACCTTCCCCCGCACGTAATGATGTAAACCGTGTGCTTCCAGCAACTGGCAGAGGACTGTCGCTTTCCGCAATGTACCATAGCTTGCTGCTGAAAAACGTGTATCCCATCGAAAACAAAGCCGGGTCGACTCAGACAAGAATATTTCTACAGTTGACCCTGCAACCCCTCCACCCCAAACAGCCGTATCTGTTGCAGGCGTACCTTTTCGAAGGCTTACACAGGACATGAGGGTGTGTCAACATGAGGATCCCGTGAAGAGATTGTTGATGCAAAACGACCAAACAGCGCGCACTGCTTAAGGAAACAGCGAAACGAAGGGGCCCGCCGATTCAGTTGCAGTCAGCCAACCGGAATCTCTACCCAGATGATCGCCTGGAAACTCACACTAGTGGCGGCTTTATGACTTGGAGATCGATTCCACAGAAAGTGGTGGAGTGAAGAAAGCGGCAACCACTGGTGCGCCTGTCTAAACATGTTGAAGCCACAAGCAAGCGTTTGAACTGCCTCGTAGTTCCCCTTCTGGCCCAAATCTGTACACCAAAAACCGATCAAATGTTCAGACTCCGATTTTCACACTTCGTCTCACATGTCGTCTACTCGTTGAGGACCAGGGCTTGGCTGAAACCTTTGGTCGGTGGCCACCTGTCTGGGTTACCGAGCCATTGGTCCAGAGGTACGCCATCGAGCTTGCTCATTGCCAACAAGACCTGAGTTTGATGCGACCCCATGCCCCCCCATGTTGCCCTCAACGGCGGGAGGAATCCCTCCGAAAAATCCGTGAAGTGGGAAATTCTGATCCAATGGTTACTCTGTAAGGGTTGCTTTGGCACGGAACATGGCACCCAAACCCAATTGTTCACAGACAACGGACCGAGGGGCCAAGAACGCCAACAGTCTTCACCCTCCAAACGGGGGCTATCCTTGGCCCCCAAGCCTTAAGAATGTACCATCGATCTATCGCTGCCCCGCCCATCGCATCCCTTGGAGGTCTGCACGGCCCTACTTGGGTAATCAAACCACTTCGTATGTGGCTGTTTTCACCATTATAAGCAAACAATCACCCAGCTCCCCCAGTTCTTTCTTCCATGGTGAAGTATCCTACTTAGTGAATCCATACGTCCAACTTTGGTTTGCCCCTTGTTTGCCCCAGCGAGGCTCGGCTAGGGTTTTTTTATGGGGTTTTACCCGAAACCCGGGTATGGACCCGACGAGGAGGGGCTCGGGAGCCGGTTCCAATCCTCATCCCTCAATTTGTGGCCCTTCACACGCTTTCCTTACCCGGCATCGAACGAGTCTACCCAGCATCCATTTGGGCCTGAACTGGCTGCGAACACTCAGTCGCCAAAGAAGCCAGAAACAATGACTATGACTAAAATGGACCAAACATGGGAAACCAAGAGGTCAAAAGGTCGGCTTTGGGCAAGTGAGCACTGGATGAGTGCCATGATTCTCTTGAGCTCTTACGAGGTCTTCGAAATCTCGAGGCAAATCAACCCCCCTTGAGGCAATGACAAAGGCAGCGGTCGCTGGCTCAGGGTAATCTTGCAGGTGGTTCAAGCAAACTGGATGCCAATTTTCCAGGGAAGTAGCTGCCTCAAAATGATACGGCCCATGCGCTGCCTGTACCGCTGCCTCTGTTTGGTTCTCTCACCGTCTTCGACCCGCCCCAACCTTAGATGTGGGTTCTTAAAAGGCTTCTGCGAACCTATCTAGGGGGAAGGGGGACTCCAAATGATTCTCCCTAGTTCTTGGGGCACCCCACTTGTGTCTTGCCGTTCACAGAGACCACGCAATGGGTGACATACCTCACGCTGCGTCTGCGTCTGTGCGTGGAGATTCTATGTAAAGAACCGTGAATCTCTGCCTCTGGTTGCAGGTCAACTGAAAACTAATCCTTGGGTTGGTCCTACCTACCACAAACAGGAGCCACAAATAAAGAGATCTGAACACAGAACCAAAAAAGAACCAAAAACAGTACCAGTACTGTTTAAGAATGTTTGAGGACTGAACATTTGCAAACCTCGGCATGCAGATTTGGTAGGGGTTGTATTCCTGGGGGTCCTTTTGCGAAAAATGGATGGCGGTGGCAAATGACTAGGACCCAACCTCGACCAGTCCCATCGACCAAAATCGTGAATTATCTAAGCTCAAGTAAGATGCATACTCCCTGGCAAGTTAACCGGGAATCTCCATAAGGAGGTTACTATAAAAGTGATATTTTGGGGGTGCATTCCAGAAAGAATGGCAGCAGAGTAAGCTACGAAGTTCCTCCCTCAGAATCAAGACATGCTTTCCTCCGCTGATATCCTGCAAGGTGCCTTGGTGTTGGCTCGGGAAACTGTTCACTTCGCGGGTGCGTTTTCACTCCGAGGGTGAAACACATGTCTACGCAAATCAAAAGCATCAAATCCAACAGAAGCTTGGCCAAAAAATGTGTTCGGAGAAAAGAACTCGCGCGAAAGCTCGGTCTGAGTGGCACTGCTCTTCCCTCATGCAAAGCGCTGCAATCCTGCTCGCAAGGCATGACGCAAGTCAAGTCTCCTGCATGCGCTGGTCGCAACCTCAGCTGAATGATGTGTTTTCTTCTCTGGATCGGCGCAGCGCAAAATTCAGCTGGAGAACAAAGAGTTCTGCTCGTGCAACTCCAGATTTGCTGGGCGGGAAGCATCTTCCCATAAGCTACTCGCTAAAGATCTGCCCAGAAGAGCCAGACTGGTCCGGGCCCGGCTTCCAAATTACTTCCTGATGTTCCTGAAGCTGGTTTCTTGCCACGAATTCTTCACGACAAAGACATGCTTATTGAAGGATGTCCATCCCTGGGAGAAGGTCTTAAGGTGCTAGTGTTCGGCCACGGACCAAACCCGCGTTGGGGACTTCGTATGTTGGAAGAGCATGCGACCCAGTATTGAATCTACTCACTTTCGAAATGCTGGATACTGCAAAGCAAACCAGATGAATCAAATCTGAGGGTTCGAAACTCGTCAGAACACTGACTTTCAGGGTATCCCTTGAGTTTCCTCAAGGATCCGCCCTTCCCAATTCAAGCGCGCGGGTTCGTTTCACCAAACCCGGTGGCCAGCCCAGCGATCCCCCGACCAGTGGGGGGGGCTCTGCATTCACATGGATCTTGTACTTTGGCTTCACCGCCCAAAGTAGATCCGGGTTGATGAATCCAGGATCAACCTTCCTTTATAAAACCAGTTTATAGTCGTGATTGTGGAAGAATCTTAGTCATTTTCTGACACACACACACACACGCACACACGCACACGCACGCACGCACGCACGCACGCACGCACGCACGCACGCACGCACGCACGCACGCACGCACGCACGCACGCACGCACGCACGCACGCACGCACGCACGCACGCACGCACGCACGCACGCACGCACGCACGCACGCACGCACGCACGCACGCACGCACGCACGCACGCACGCACGCACGCACGCACGCACGCACGCACGCACGCACGCACGCACGCACGCACGCACGCACGCACGCACGCACGCACGCACGCACGCACGCACGCACGCACGCACGCACGCACGCACGCACGCACGCACGCACGCACGCACGCACGCACGCACGCACGCACGCACGCACGCACGCACGCACGCACGCACGCACGCACGCACGCACGCACGCACGCACGCACGCACGCACGCACGCACGCACGCACGCACGCACGCACGCACGCACGCACGCACGCACGCACGCACGCACGCACGCACGCACGCACGCACGCACGCACGCACGCACGCACGCACGCACGCACGCACACGAACACGAACACGAACACGCACACGCACACGCACACGCACACGCACACGCACATGGGTGTGTGTGTGTGTGTCTCTACAAACTCCAGCCAAAGAGGGGCGGCCCAACCAAAATCGGGTGGGGGGAGGGGGTTCTCCCTGCACAGACGCGTCCCCGGCCCCTCAGGCGGCCTCGGCACGACGTTCCGCTGAGCGACCTCGGGAGGCAACTCCCGGGCCAACTGCTGCAGCACCTGCCGCCAGCGGATGCCAGGAGCCGGTTGCAGGGGCACTAACTGCCCCTCCAGCAATCAAATTCTGGATTCCAGGCAACCGGCCGCTTTTGGAGGTCCACAAGGGAAAAACTCGGGGTCTGGGTTACTGGGCATACCTTTGGTGAGTTGCGGATGCCCTAAATATAGGGCAACAAGGACACATCCGCATACAACCTTGGGAATTGTGCCTACTGAAAACTTTTGCTCTTTTGCACCCTCCCCCCCAAAAATATAACACACACACGCACAACCCCGCGCTTCCTCTAGACGAGGCCTTAAGGTCAGAAGGAGCAATTGCCTTGAACATTGACCCCTGCCAGTAAAGCCGCAAACCCACAAAAAGGTGCCTGACATTCACCTTTTGATATGTGGGCGGCTTCCCAAATAACATATTTGCCTGGGGCAGAACGATCTGCATTTGTAGGCTGCCAGGGCTTGTAGTTTGCTTCCCGGCTTGGAATGTCTTGTGATCCCTAGGAAAGGCCAAAGCTCGGTGTGCATATGTGTGTGTGTGGGGGCGCGCGTGATTCTGCCTAGCACAAACAGGTACAGGGGGACAAAGTTTGCCAGGAAGGCTTGAAGATTTGTAGTGATCACCCACGTCCATCGCCGGCCTCAATGCAAAGTCAATACTTGTTCAACTCTGTGCACAGCAAACTTGAGAAAGAGGACGAGCAGTCTTTTTCTTCAGTTCTGCTTAGGACACGGGTGGTGAAGGGCTGAGAAACAGCCAGTGTTCCAGATACAACAAAAACGGCCTCCCAAAGACGAACCAGGTTCCCTTGCATCACAGAAGTGGGGATAAACCCCTTGATCCCACTATGCTGGTGGTTCCGGATTGTGCCATCTGCTTTTCCTTGACAGGCGGTTCCGCCAACATCACAAACGTCGACGTGGCGCGCATCGCTAAACATTGGTACTATACGCGATGGCGAGAGAAACCACTGGGCAGGGTCCAACAGGCGTGGTTTTTTGGTTGCTTTTTCAGAAGCAAACTACGCCTTATAGCAGGCAGCCATCCAACCCGCATGCCAGTTTGATGGCTGAAACCAGAAAATGGGAGGGCGTCTATCTGCCGGGCAGTTCCCTTTCGTTACCTACAATAAAAGGGAGCACCCAATTCATGGTATTCATGGTTGACAGGCTGATTGCTCTACGCCTTGCGATTTTGTCGCAGGAAATGGATTTCCCGCCTCTGCCTCCAGCAGACAAGCTTCCATCAGTTCCTGGTGCGTCAAGTTGTTTGGCCCAACAACAGATCTGCTTCATACTTAGTCAACCAAGCATGAACTATGCAAGGAGACCCCAGGTTTTTGCTAAGGGATGAGCCTTTGAGGCCAAAGTTCTCCTGTAGAAGGCCTGAACGACTTGTTAAAATCCTGGGGGCTGGGGGGTGGGGGGAGGGAGGGGTCCATGGTACGAAATATGGTTGCTCGGACAAAACAAACCACATCCCGTCGATTCGCCAACTGGTGGCAGAATTGACTTGTTTCGACATCGCCTCTGCTTCTGGATCGTGGTGTGATGCACTCAGAAAAAGGACTCAGGCGTGTCAGCTTGTCTGGCAACAACACGGACAACAGCGGCATCCCCAGAATGACCGTAAGGCAAGTCGTTCCGTGAAGGTTCGCCCAACACAACTGTCTAACACGCCCTTCCAAAGTAGGAAGAACCCCTTGCAACAACGACAAACAAAAATCCCCTGCAAGTCACAAGAGTACCCTACAAATCTACCACTGCGACAACGAAATTATGCTAGGTGGACATGGCAGAATGTCTAGTTGACAGGCCCCTACAATCACATCAAATCAAATTTATATTTGTTCGAGCTGCGGCGCACCACCAACAAAAATGACACATGTACACCAGTCATAAGCCTGCGTCACGAGCATCAGATGTAGAATGGGGCCAACATGCCCAGCATCACCAGCCAGCACAAGTATGGGAAAAACCGTTGCTTTGCAAGGACTGCCCGCCCACCCCTCGCGATCCGTGTTCAAACACACTCACTAACGAAAGCTAGGATAGCTCTCGTAAATTAGTGCATGCGTGTGTCTACGTGCATGCATTAGGAGCCCACGTTCGTCCTCGGGTATGTGTTAAAAATTCAAACCTGTTGATGGAGTCGCACATTTTGAGATCCCACATGAATGGCCCCTTGATTCCAAGCATTGACTTGTCTTCTCGGGGGAGAGTCAAAAGGATAGCTCAGTGAAACCCATCCCCGGTGAAATCTAGCAGTTTCCAGGGTCTCCGTATAACACGGGAAAACCACTTCAAGCATCTTCAAACTATCCTGGGCGGTAGGTAGTTCAAGTAAATCAACGCAGGTCCCGGGGCCAACGACTTGGATCAAAACATGTGAATGAGTCAAACAGATCCCTGCAAGTGGTGGAAAGTATAGATTCAAGGGTTACCTACCGGTTTGGGGCCCAAAAGGAAACAACAAACCGTCCAAGTGCGCTGCTCGCACATTTTCACGCTTGAACAGCCACACTGCGGATGCAACGGATGTAAAACCCCGTAATGACCGATCTAATTCTTCACCCCCCTCTGCGTGTTAAAGGGGCCTTTCACAAAGCAGCCAAACAGTAACACAACAGAGGGAGAAGGTCAAGGGGAACCGTTGCACTCATGCAAGCCATGACGGATGCGCTTTTAGCGCCACCGCCAAGATGAATAGCTTCCGCTGCTGTCTCCCCATCCGCTCCACTCGGACCAGTTCTGCCACGGCTCCACTGCTCGCCCTCGCGGGCGGCGGGAGCACTTGTTTCGGCATAACGGGCAGCATTGCGAGCAAGATGTTTGCTGCTTTCGTTCCTCGAAAAATCTATCGAGTTCCGTGCATACGCCAAAAATCCAGTCCATCTCGTTGTGGAGGTCGTCCAACGTGTTGCCATGCAAATGAATAATCCCGTTCCAGCAACCAATACTGCGGGGCCTATTCTGCTCCATCACCACGTTGACGAACGCTCTGGGGCTGTAGGGCATCCCTTGGAACATCACGATCCAGCGAGAGGACAAAGCCTCTTTCAGCTCGTTGGGCAAGAACTCCAAATCTGTCTTGATGTACGCGAGCCTTGCGATTCGCGACTCCGACGTTGAACCAAGGCCAACGCCCAGAGTGCGCTGGGCCTGCGACTGGTTTGGAGCAGCTAAGACAAGATTTGCGCTCAGCTCCATGCGGAGCATGTCCGCCTCCCGACGGCCCACCTCAAGCATACGAACCCTGTATTGAAGATCGAGTTCGTAGCGGTCAAGTAGAGAGTGGTAGCCGTTCTTCAGGGCGGACTTGAGCTTTTTCCGCGCCTCCTGAATGACGGCACTGTCCGGGGAGTTCAAGCCACGAATGATGCTGTTACGATCCTCCTCGCGAAGGTCGGATGTTCCCACAGATGCAAGGACCTGAGCTGTGACGTGGGTGCTGAGGCCCATCTTCTTCAACAGGTTGGAACGCTGCATGATGTAATTGCGTTGTTGCTCTTTCAACAGGCGTGGATTGAGGGGAGATAACTGCCCACATGATGCGCAATGCACCTGCCCCTCGAAGACGCTGTTGTTTCAACCCGGGCACGTGGCAACATTCAACTCAACATTCTCCATTGGATTGAAAGTCTTCTGCCTCTTCGCTTCCCCTTGCGAGGCGCGAGGACAGGCCACATTTGTGCGCGTCGTAGCAATACGTTCCAGCGCTGTTGAACGATCATCTGCCACAGCTTGTTCGCGCTTCATCCCCTGGGGTTCTTCTTCAATCGCCTCTGCTGGTGCACCTGCATCCGATTGCTCGGAGCGAGTGTACCAAACATCGCCATTTGTAGCGTCCAATACCGAAATAATCGTGTAATTGGGCACCTTGTCGCGCGTGAGGACACCATCGCTCTCTGTCTTGAAAAAGCAAAGCCCTGCGCGAATGGCCATTCTGAGATCGATTTGTATCTCCAGGGGTCGATCTGCGCGCACACCTGATACGTAGTGTTCGCTTGTGCTGGGGACGTCGGCGAAGAAGACGTGGGGCCGGCCTGTTTCATGCTGATCTCCACCGCCTGGCAATAATCCGTTCCGCATGATGTTAGCGAAATTTCGCTTGTCGGTGCGGTGGTAAAGCACAGTTGGAGGATTGTTGCAAACATTCCAGCCGGCCCAGCTCCCCGGGTTCACGTACCACTCCTTCGCGATGCCGGAGTCGTCGATCTTGAGCCAGTCCTCGTGGCCTTGGGAGGCCTTCAGCTTGAAAAGCCAATGAGAACAGGGGACGTCTCCGCACCGGCTTGCGTCCGGGCAACCAAGGCCGATGAACCTCTGCTTCTTGTCCAACTTGAAAATATCCATGATGTTCTGGATGTTCCATGGAGTCGGATGTCGCAGCTCCTTGCGAAGCGCGAGTCCCAAGTCTTCGAGGTCCATGTAGCCGTCCTCATCCATCACATACCCGCATCCTTCTGTTCCGCGTCCACGAAGGATCTTGGAGATGCACGTCAGGGAACGGTGGTATTCATCACTGATTCTCCTGACAGAAGGGTCGTAATCGAAAGAGGGTTGCTTGATGATGCTGAGCCTCTTGGGGCCTTCGCCGTAATCGACATACTTCACGCCATCGTGAATGCTATACACCCAGCAGTCATAATGGCCCCCTGTCACGCTCCTCCCGTAGGAGTCGAGTGGTACCGGCCTGCTCACCTCCTCGTCCTTCATTGCCACCGCAGCCGCCTTTGCACCGGCTCGCGCCGGGCGAACACTTTCGGAAACATCTGCACCGGAAGGCTCACCCGAAGTTGCAAACTCGGCTGGGTTGACGGGGGCGAAGTCGAGAGGCTGCCGGACTTCCACTTCTTCTCTGGTGAAAGGGAGCCCGATCATCTCCGACAAAGAAACACCGCATTTTGTAAGCGTCTCCTTGCAGTACGCGAGAACCTCAACGTTGACTGTACAATCTTCTTGGTGGCGCAGCTCGAGCACATCGATCGGACGCACAGTACAGTCGTGCGAACGTGTCAGCTCGGCTACGCTGCCCATTGCGGGGCGCAAGATAGAAAGCATATACAACATATGATGGGTTCCGCGCATAAACTGGACGGTCTTCGTGATGTTGTCGTCACTGAAGCACATATGGCACCTGTCCAGCAAGTCGATGGTCTCGACGAAGGGTGTAGCATCTACGTACACGAGCATATGATTGGGGTCGCCAATGATAAAGTCCCGGACTTCAGTCATATAACGGTCCCAAATCATAGAGAAGCCGTAGAGATAGCTTTTCGCGCCGGTCATGACTCCAAGGCCTGCGCAGCCCTTGCAGGCCGCGAAATCCCTGGTCCAGGCCAGGTGCCTCTTGGTGTCTGCCAGCAACTGGCTGGCTTCGCCGGCCGGGTGGTCGAACGGGAAGGTGACACTGGGCTCCATGCCGTCCTTCCCAACAAGCTCATTGCCGTTCCAATAGATCATAGGAACGATGGTCGCCGTCGGGTAGTCCGTGCGCACAGGCCTTTCCCCCGTAGCATTTCGGACCTCCATGCACCGACACGCGCCGGGCGAGAAGAATCCAAGCGTTCCGAAAAATCATATTTGCGGAGCTTCTTCTTCTTGCCGGACACCATTGACAGTCCAGAGTCTGCGACCGTCACGTAGATGAGGAGATCACGATCGGGCACACGAGGTGCCTGCACCACCTTCAAATAAGGCTCGCTGATTGTTAACAAAGGTGTCAGCAGCTGCAAATAATGCGGTTGGTCCTGCACCCATGTATGGATAAGCGACTGTGCAGAGGTCGTCTCCAAAAGCCCTTTGACTGTTGCTGCGAGGTTCGCGTCGTACTTGCCGTTGGTGCATACCGATGTGGTAGCGACATTTTCCATCCACCGCCTCCATGCCGGATCGCAATCCCTCGCGGGATGCGCCATAGCCGTCTGGCCGCTCATTGCGAAAACGAAGCAGCACAATTACTCGAAAGCAACGGCTGCATGGTGGCGTGTTCGGAGAATGCATTATGAACGGCATCAGTGTAAATGTACGTGTATCCCGCGGCTTCCTTCAAGTGGGTGCCACGGCTTTCATCATGCTCGTGAGAACCATCACATTTGAAGTACTCAACAACAGAAATAGTGGGCATGTTGCTGGCAACGACCCATTGCTTTTTCATGGGTTTTCCATTTCTCCCTTTGATGCCGATTTTACAACCATGGAATTCATACTTGTTCATCTTGTACTTGGTCAAGAAACTCCATAGTTCAGG